TGAATCTGGCCGACTTCAGTCTGATTTTATGTTCTTCCTTATGGTTTTCTGGCAGCTTCCCCTCTTTTAGGAATGCAATGATTGCATCCATCCAGCTTGGCCCTAAGTCTACGCACATTGCTTCTTGTTCGGTGCTCTGTTTATCTATGCTCGGGGCCGACATGTAGTCGATCATAATTGTCCTTGTTCTTCCAGTTTGAATTGAACTGGCCAGGTTAGCCAACGCGTCGGCGTGGGTGTTGTCATCTCGGCTAACTTGGAGTAATCTGCAGTTCTGAAATAGGGCTGCCAGTCGGATGACTTCCTTTGCATATGCCGACATTCTTTCGTCTCTGGCTGCAAATTCTCTGGTTGACTGGTTAACAATGAGTTGTGAATCACAAAAAACAATTACCTCGTCTGTCTCTGCTGCTGCTGCCAGTTTTAGCCCTGCAATTAACGCTTCATATTCTGCTTCATTGTTGGATGCTTTGAACCCCAAGCGGATGGACTGTTCTACTATTTCTCCATCTGGAGATATCAGCAGTACTCCTGCCCCTACTCCCTGGCGGTTTGAACTTCCATCGACGAATAGTCTGAATGAATCGCCGATGTAGATGCTGCAGGGTCTGAACTTCTCTTTCTCTTGCTTTTTTGTCTTTGGCTGGGATTCTTTTTGCTTGTTGGGACAATGCTCATCTTGGCTCGACAGAGCCCGATGTGCGATGGCTTCAGGTGTGAGTTCTGCGACGAAGTCGGCCAAAACTTGGCCCTTTATTGCTGTTCTCGGCCTAAACTCCAGGTCAAACTGGCCCAGGGTTACTGCCCATTTTGCTATCCTTCCTGTTAAGTCTCCTTGTTGCAACAAGGACTTTAGTGGGTGCTCTGTTAGGACCACAATCTTGTGTGCCTGAAAGTAATGGCTCAATTTCTTTGAAGCCATTACTAAGGCTAGCATTAATTTTTCCAGTGGTAGGTATCTTGTTTCTGCGTCGGCCAAAGTTTTACTTACATAATAAACAGCCTTTTGTTCTCCTTTTTCCTCTCGGATTAGCACTGCACTGACTGCGTGTTTTGAGACTGCTAAGTACAAAAATAGTTCCTCCCCTAGTACTGGGTTGGAAAGAACCGGAGTTGTGGTCAAGTACTTTTTTAGGTCGATTAATGCGGCTTCACATTCCTCTGTCCATAGGAAGTCCGTGGCTTTTTTCACCAGCTTGAAGAAGGGTCTGCACTTATCTGAGCTTCTGCTGATGAATCTGTTTAGGGCTGCGGCCCTTCCAGTAAGCACTTGAACTTGCTTTGCCGATGTCGGGCTCTATAAGTCCAGGATGGCCTTGATTTGGTCTGGGCTGGCCTCAATGCCCTTTCTTGTTACCAGATATCTTAAAAATTTACCTGATCCAACTCCAAAGGCGCATTTTGAGGCGTTGAGTCGGAGCCGATATCTTTTGAGTATGTGAAAGACCTCTTTTAGGTCGGCAAGATGACCCTTTGATTCCCTTGTCTTTACGACCATATCGTCGATGTAGACTTCTACTGTTTTGCCAATCAGGTGCTTAAACATCTTTGTTACTAACCTCTGATAGGTTGCTCCTGCGTTTTTCAACCCAAAAGGCATTACCTTGTAACACTACAGGCCTTTAGGGGTGATGAACGCGGTTTTCTCCTCGTCTGGAGGGTACCTGGCAATCTAGTGGTACCCTCTGTATGCATTCAAAAAACTCATCCTTTCATGTCCTGAAGTGGCGTCTACCAGTTGGTCGATTTTGGGCAGAGGAAAGCTGTCTTTGGGGCAAGCTTTGTTGAGGCTGGTAAAGTCTACACAAACCCTCCATTCGCCATTCTTCTTTTTTACTACTACTGTGTTGGACAGCCATGTTGGGTACTGAACTTCTCGGATGGCCCTGGCCTCCAGGAGTCTGTCTACCTCTTCTTCTACTGCTTCGACGTGCATCAACGTCAGTCTTCTGGCTCGTTGAATCACAGGTTTTGCCGACCTGTCGACATTCAGTCTGTGGCAAGTGACCTCGGGGTCAATGCCAGGCATCATTTCATAAGGTGTCCAGGTGAACACCTCTATGTTTGCCCTTAAGAAATCTTCCAGTTCTTTCTCTTCTTCTCTAGCTAAGCCTGAGCCGAGAAGAAAGAAACGCTCTTCGTCGTCCTCTTGGACGAAAACTTTTTTTAGCGCCTCTTCGCTCTTTTCGCCTGGTTCCTTCCCGACGTCTTCTAGGACCTCCATGTCCTCATCTTCAACTTCTGTGTTCCTTGGCTCCCGTATACTACAGGTGGATTTCATTGCTGTCATGGAGCAATTTTTTGCTTGCAGTTGATCCCCTCTGACTTCTTCAATCCCATTCTCTGTTGGGAACCGCAGTAGTTGATGCAACGTTGAGGGAACTGCCCCCATTGCATGAAACCACGGCCTTCCCAGGATGATGTTGTATGGTGAGGGCGTGTCTATTACCAGAAATTCTGTTTGGATTTTCTTAGTGCCGGCTTGCACTTCCAAGCTTGTTGCGCCCAGTGGCCATGTCGGCGTTCCATTAAAGCCGACCATCGGGCCGCTGGATTGTTCTAAGTCATCAGGGTGAAGGCCCAGCTCCTTGTAACATCTGACATACATGATGTCACAGGAGCTGCCTTGATCTATTAGGATGCGTTTTACTTGGCACTCCCCAACCTGGAGGGATACTACCAAGGCATCATTATGCGGATGTTGGACCAATTCTAGGTCGGCTTCAGTAAAGGCTATCATCGGCCCTTGGTATTCTTCTGGCCGATGTCTTTTCTCCCCGACTTGGTAGATATGCTGTAAATGTCTTACCCTCTGGGTCTCTCCTCTAACTTCGTTTTTGTTGACCCTAGAGTGGATCACATTAACTACTCTCGGTCCTCCTCCTGGTGGTAGTTGTGCTGGGGGAGGCGGTGCTGCTGGTGCTTGAGGCAACCTTGCCTGTTCTTCCCTGGTCCTGGCCTCATCGACCAGGTCCCTCAGAAGGCCTTGTCTTACCAGGTCCTCCAAGTGTGCTTTCAAGGCTCTGCAACCTTGAGTTGGGTGCCCTTCTTCATTGTGGTAGGCACAACGTCTACCAACGTTCCTTCCCATGAATTCCCCTGGTGCTCTTGCCGGAGCCCTGAAATAAGGTTGATTTCGAATCCGATCCAAGATTTTATGGATTGGGATCCGGAATACTGTGGTTACCGCCTGTTTATTTCTTAATTCTATTTCTTGTTTGGTCGGCCCATTGTTGATTCGGCCTCGCTTTGGCGAGCCGTTTCCCTTTTCTTGCTTTATCTCTTTGTTTCCCGATGTATCTTCATTGTGTTTCCTTGTACTCCATTTTGATCTTAATCTTTCAAACAAGGCACTCCATTTTATTTTTGAATCTTTCAAACAAAGCACTAGAGATGTGTCGTGAAAGCATTACTTTCAAAATGCAAAGATAAATAAAATAGTGTCTTAATGTGAAAGTTTGGATCTGACTTGCCATCATAAATTTGGAACCTCGGCATGCTGAATCTCTTTGGTGGTTCGAATTTGTCCAGTTCCACCGAGAAGGCTGTCTTCGGTTTTACTGGGGAGTTTACCTCGACTTCAGCATTCTGCTACCTCCTTTTGAGGTAGTCCCTCAGGTCTTCTTTGCTCCTCCCTGGAGCTCGGCTGTCTTTGGATTTTAGTCTTTTTGGTACACTGCTTTCAGCTTCATGGTGGGTCCGTTTGGATCTTTCTCCATGGGTTGTGTCAAAGTAGAGTACTTGCCCCTGAACATGTCGATGTTCTTTGGGCTCTAGATTCTTCATGTGGTGCGTCCTTCGGGACTCTTCTTGCCTCGGTTTTTCCCGTCCGACTTCCCTGGAAGGCCGGTGAGAATGCCTTCCGCTCTTGGTATGCTGAGGGACCTCGGGGATTGTTTTTCTCCCGCCCTTCTGGGTGTTGGTTACTGGCATCGGTGTATCTTGCAGTGGGTATGGTGGCTGCATAACGTTATTTTGCATCATGAAGTTGACGACTGACTGAAGGTCTGCCAACTTGTTCGCCAATTCTTTCACTTCCTCATCCCTCCGTAGGCACCTGTCCCTCCATACCTGGAGGTTATCTTCATTGTAGTACTTTCCTTGGTTTGTCCTTTTTGACGTGTCGCCTTCTGGGATGACGTCGTTCTCTCTGTGACCCTGGTCGTGGGTTTCTGTATTGTAGTTGTCTCCTTCAATGTCAAGGTCAATTGGTTTGCCACTCCCAGTGGGAGCGTCATCCCCAATATTTTCCTGTTGTCCGTTACTGGCCATCTATTCTTCCTTCGTTCCCACAGACGGCGCCAAATTGTGTGGGTGAAAATTTGACCACACTGCTTGCTTAGTGATCAACTGGAGAGCACAGGCAGAATAGATGGCTTCAGCAACCTGAAACAGAAAGTAAAGGCTCCGGTGGTGGTTCTTCCACCCGGGGGCACTCCGACGATCAAGTCAGTATATCTCTCAAAGATAATCAAGTGCAAAACTTAATACTCAAAACATAAATTGCATACCTTAGACCCACGGGGGTGCCTCTCTTTTATAATATACTAAATCCAAGTCCCACTAGAAGTATGACTTCTATGAACTCCAATTTAGTGCTTACTTTGGACTCTCTAAGAGATAAAGATAAACTCCCTAAGAGCTTTATCCTTATCTTGGTTAAGTCCCCTCTTTGCCTTAGGACTCTTGTCCCTTATCTGCTTATCTCGGATTCCGATATCTTCGGGGATAACCTCGGCAACTCCGAGATCATCTCGGCTTAACTACCACGACACGTAGCACCTCGGCTGACACGTCGGCGTCACCATGCCACGTGTTGGTATTCAAAAAATATATCCCCGCATGAGTAAATTAAAATTAGATTATAAAGTTATTAATTGCAATAAATAGTTAAATATTTAGGATTAATTGTGATCTAAAATATAATTAAATTAAAATCAGAATAAAAATTTAAGAATTACAATAAATAATTAAGAATTTACAATTAATTGTGATTTTATTTAATTAACAATAGACATTATAAATTTGGTCATGGCAGCCATAGCGGTGATGTTGGTGGTGGTGTTGCTGCTGTTTCTGCCATTGTTTACTTCCCTCATGAGAAAATAGAAAACCTCGTCTTTTTCATAGGCAGCAGCAGAATAAAGAGGAGTCTCTCCAAACTTGTTGCGTTCAAAAACCGAACGTGGATTCTTGACCAACATTTGTACGAAATTCATGTGACCCAACTTGGCAGCTTCATGAAGTGGGGTGTCACCTTTTTCATTTCTGGGATTGAGCTCGTTAGCATAGTGTAGCCCGACATCAACAAGTTTTTTCAAGGCCGATGTGTTGTTGCTCATGGCCATGAAATGCAGCATTGTGTTGCCCCTTTCGTCTATCACTTTCTTACTCGCACCTCCTCCTCCTAGTTGTTGTTGTTGCTCCCTCCAGAACTTGCACAGCACTTCTTCTCCTCCTCCCTTCTTTGATGCTGCTGCTTCATAAGCTTTCTTGAGGCTTACTTGCATGATGTTGTTGCTGCTTCCTATTTTTCTTCTTTTTTTTTTCATTTTAAGATTCAAACAACCCTTCTTTTTATACATATATTGATGGATGAGCAGCAATGAATGAATGAATTAATGGCTATTTATAGATATGAAATACTTGTACTGCTCTTTATTCCCCTACCAAGTAAAGAAAATAATAACATATAGTGTGAAATACACGATAGCATTGTTCTTTCAGGGCCGGCCTGAGGTGAGGCGACTAAGGCCCGCATTAGCCCTCAATTTTAAACCAAATTTAGGGTCTCAAATTAGGGGAGTGTATCATGTCGTGTTATTTTATAATTACTTCAATATTAGCTCAATTTATTTATTTTCATGTTGTCATATGGTGTTATTTTCATTCATGTCCAATTGATGTTTAATGTGAAAACCTTCACTTTTAGTTAAAAATAACTTAGCAAGTGTATAGAGAGATTAAATTTTTTCCCATAAGTTGAATTTTATAAAATTTATTTTTACTATATAAAATTATTCATAAAATGTTTGATTTTAATTCAATTGTATTTTTCTAATTAAAAAAAAAATTGTACCTTATTACTAACAAATAGGAGTTCCAGGCTTTAATGCCAAAAAGACACAGAATATACAAACAAATAGTAGAAAATCATGGATTTGGATTTTTTGTTGTTGCCTTTTTTAAATGTGAATTTGTCCTTGTTTTCTCTTCCTATCACTCATTTTATTTCATTACTCTATTTTATATTGTTGAACATTTTTATTTATTTATTATTTGAGTTAAATTTTAATTTAACAATTTATTTAAAAACTCAATTTACCTCCCTTTTGGGTTGCCTACCAGGATTAACAATAAGAACAAATCTAATTTTCACGTCCTAATAATATAAGCTTGAATAAGAGAACCGAATTGTACAACAACTTTCAAGAAATCCATCTCTTCTACATTCGAAAAACAAAAGGCCAAAAGGACACAAAATATACAAACAAATGGTAGGAAATCATGGATTTGGATTTTTCGTTTTTACCTTTTTCCAATGAGAAAATATAGACAATCTATGTCTAACATTTTTTCAATGGACTAGTCCATCAGAAAACAAGTCAATAATTTTTTGTCATTCACCAAGTGGAATGATAAGGTGCCATGTCCATGTAAACTCCATGCATGAAAACCATATAATAATAATAATAATAATAATAATAATAATAATAAGGCTGGTCACGTTTGTATCCTCACAACACAATTGATTTCTATCTCTACACTTAACTTGTTACCATAACAGTAAGTCAATCTCTATTATAAATTTATAAAAATTTGGAGTTCGTGCATGTGAATTATGGTTGCTTGTGTTAAAGAACCTCAAGGTTAATATTTGACTGAAATTACTGTGTAAAAAATGTATGACACTTGCTACACTACCAAACAGATACAGGCATTAAAAAAAATTCAAGATCATAATAAACAAAATATTTGTATGGTAAGATCATAAATAAAATCACTCTCTTGTAATTATGTTTCTCCTACCGACTGTTTTTTTTTTCTTGGTTTCAGTGAGAGAAACTACACTAACATTTCTTAAATACCCATTATTATCACCCATGAATCACTACATTGACGAGTTACTTGAGGGAACAAATATTTGAGGAAAAAACTTTTTTTCCCCTAGGGGTTTTGTCGCTGTAGGTTTGGTATTCATAGAGTAATTTTTGGATATAATAAGAGATGGCTTTGGCCCATTCTCCTAAAGAAGATGATACATGGAAACAATTACTATATCTTCTGGTGATTTTTGGGGAGAGCAATGTTTTGGGGGGTGGCAAAAGGGCAGGTTCGGATGGGTTCAATTTTTGTCAACAAGTTAAGTGGTTAATCAACACAACCCAAACTTACCTATTGAACTTTTGAACTCTATTTTAACTGTATAGGCATCTTTCTTTCACATATAATTTTTTTTTTTTGAACAATCTTTTACATATGATTTGTATACATTATATATACATGAGAGAAGAAGGCAACCCCAAATCAATGAGTAATACTTGATAAAAATACAGAAAGAAAAAAAAATCAAGCAAAAATAAAGAGAGGCAATCCCAAATCAAATCCAAGAATCAATCCCAAATCAAACCCCAAATGACGTCCCATTGTGATATGTGTGCAAAGCAAAATTAGGAAACAATGTCACCAAACTCTGCATATCATGAGAGAAGAAGGCTTACCAAAGAGTAGAACAAGTTCAAAAAACTAAGATCAATCAATTTCAAGATAATTGCACTAATGTAAAGATAAGATCAATCAATTTCAAGCAGATAGCCTCAAATAACCAACTCACTTAAGTCATTATTACAATTGATGATGAAAAATTAAATTAATTAATTTTTATCCCCACAAATATATTCATTGATAGCACTAACATCCTAGTATAACCATCTTCTAGGCCTTTGTTTTATTGAATTTTATGATGATGAAGTAATAATTTGTTCCCATTGTATGTTGGGCCTTGCATCAACATGTTTAGAATTGTTTTACAATGTATACTTGTTTTGGAGAAAAGTGAACAGGTGCATTTGAACCAACTGTCAACATTGTCGGAACACCTAATGAAGGATAAGAGTCTAGTTCATTGCAAGTAGCAAGTCTCCTGGCAAAGTCACTTATTTCAATGTCCATCAAGTCATCTATTGAAAGTTTTCTTCATAATCTCAATTTCCATTTATTCTTTCATGTCTAAGTCATATTATTAACAAGCCCTGTTACTAAGGTTGAAAATTTATTTGTTTCATTTTTATCTTAATGAAAAAAATATATATATTATTTTCTTTATTTGGTAGAAGTAGGGGTAATATTTTAATGGAAAATATTTTCCATTAAAATAAAGTTAATTTTTTATTATCAATGAAAAATATTTTTCTGCGGCCCATTTTTTTTTTGTTACTAAAAATCAAGAACTAATTTTTTGTGGTAGAGGAGAAAGAGCGACAGTAGTGGTGAAGGTGGTGGATAAGAGGTGATGGTGGTGGTGGTGGTGGTGGTGGCGGCGAAGGAGATTAGCGGTGAAATTGTGGTAGTGGTAGAGGAGATGGAGTGGCGGTAGTGGAGGAGAGGTAATGGTAGTAGTAGTGGTGGAAGTGGAGTGGTGGCGATGGTGGTAGTAATGGTAGTTATAGAGGTGGAGTGGCAACAGTAGTAGTAGTAGTAGTGGTAGTGGAATGGCATTTGCAATAGTGGTGAAGGTGGTAAAAGAGATGAGTGGCGAGAGAGAGAGAGAGAGAGAGAGAGAGAAAGATGAGTGAGAGATAGATAGAGAGAGACAGAGACAGAGATAGAGTGATGAGCGAGAGAGACAAATTGGTCGCTAAAAGTGCATTTTCTTGTAGTGGATCGATAAATCGAGAAAGAGCTCGGTAAATAGAGAAGATGAGAGGGAGAGAGTAAGCAAGGCGAACACAATGGGGGAGAGAGAGAGACAGACAAATAGATAGGTAGATAGAGAGAGAAGAGTGATGAGTGAGGGAGAGAGAGAGACAAAGAGAGAAAGCGATAGAGAGAGAGACAGAAAAAGAGAGAAACAAGAGATGAGCGAGAGATAGACAAAGAGATAGAGAAAGAGAGCAAAAATAGATGAACGAGAGAGAGACATAAAAAAAAAGAGACAGAGAGAGAACAGAGATGAGAGAGAAGATATAGATCAGCAAGAGACACACAGAGAGAGAGAGAGACGGACATAGAGAGAGAGAGAGAGAAAAGGGATGAGTAAGAGAGTGATGAAGATGAAAAAATGGGTGAAAAGAGAAATATTATATCAAAAGAGTAAGACGACTTCATTTTAAATTTTTTTTTTTTGCAACAGAAAAATACCGTTACATTTATTCAAATCATTTTATGACTATATATATATGAAGCCGTCTCAAAGCCACATTATTTTTTTTTTTTTTTCTTTTTTTTTTTTTTGCAACGGTACCTATTACAGTCGCAAAAAACTCAATTTTTTTGTTTTTTTTTTGTTTTTTTGTTTTTTCTTTTTTTGCGACTGCAATTGGTGCCGTCGCAAAAACTCTATTTTTTTGCCACAGCAATCTTTGCCATTGCAAATACTCCCTTTTCGTGGTAGCGTTTTCTGCCATTGCAAATACTCTATTTTTCCGTGACAGCAAATTGTGCCGTCTCAAAAAACTCACATTTTTCGCGACAGCAAGTTGTACCGTCGCAAAAAGTCACTTTTTGAGATGGCAAGTGTGCCGTTGCAAATGCTTCTATCTTTTAAGCCCACTTTCTTGTAGTGTGTATCACTATTGTTATGGTGATAGTGAGTAATGTGTAAACACATTGAATATATCAGTGGACGTAAGAAGAGTTTGTTGAACCATGTAAATTTTAATATTTTCTCATGGTGATAATTCTTGTCCAATATTTTTATTTTAACTCCATTAATTAATTAATTATAATTATTACACCAACAACACCATTAATTCATTGTTGTTGCCTCGGCAAATCTTGGGTTGGTCAACTTCAATCTTCTTTAAAAATTCGCTATTTTTTAATTGTCAACACACTCTAGCCTCATTGTTGGTGTAATTTCTGGATTGCTTATGAGTTTTGACTTCTTTTTCTTTCTTTATTTATTTTCATAATATGCAAGTTATAATTAAAAAAATTCATAAATAAATTTAAAGTTGGAAAGAGGGGATTATAACTACTTAGGAAATGAACCAGATGGGATTAGATTATGTTTCTGAATTCTATCTCAGATTAGGGTTAAGGGTGGCCATCGTCAGTCCAAACCAATATTTTTAAGGTTTGAAAAAAAAAAATTAATTAGTTAGAGCTTATCGATTCCATAGTCAAGATTGGTCTTTGAATCTTACTAGTAACTTCTATATTCTAGTTAAACATATAAAAATATTTAAAAAATAACAAACAAATATATCACGATTTACAGATCGATTTAATCAAGATTGGTGTTTGAATCTTACTAGTAGCTTCTATATTCTAGTTAAACATATAAAAATATTTAAAAAATAATAAACAAATATATCACAATTTATAGATCGATTTAAAATCAGGAATCAAAACCTAAGTTAATAAAAACTAGACGAAATTGAAGATTTGGACCAATCTAGATCGATTTACTAGTTTTACCTATTATTTGAAGAGAGAATTGTCAAAAAGTCCAAGTTAAAGATGATATAAAATATTAAGTCCAGTAGATATTTTTTAAAGAATATTTTGCTTTTAATTTTATCCCTTAATTTATCTGTTGACTTTCACTTACTATATATTCAAATTTATATCTATCTATTCAAATTATTTTCTACCTATTCAAATTTTTTATCTATTTGTTTAATTGTTTTGACCTATTTGTTGAATTGTTTTTATCTGTTCAATTTTTATAATTTATTTTTTTTCTATCCGTTCAGATTCACACCATTTTTAAACTCTCTCTCTATATGTTTCTCTCTCCACCTCTATTCTCTCTTTTTATTGAAAAATTTCACTATTTTTGTTTTATCTGTTGCAACGACTCTTTCTTCCTCATCTCACCACCACCTTACATCTATCTGTTCGAGTATTTTTTTTGTTTAAAATTTAAAATTATCTATTTAAATCGATTTGTTCAAATATTTTATCTGTGTAAAATTTTTAATCTGTTTAATTTTTTTTAATTTTTTATCTGTTCAAGTTTGTTCAAATATTATTATCTATTCAAATTTTGAACAGTTCTATCCTATTATCTATTTCTTCATCATCAACATCATTAACAACAACAGATTAGAAAAAAAATGTAATAAAAAAATTCCATTTCATCAATACATACAGCAACGTATATGAAAAAACTATCTCTCTTCTCTTTCATCTCTTCTCTCTCATTTTTATTTTACCAAACCCTAGAGTCACACATATTGCATTATGTTTTATCATCATCATCATCATTGAGAGGGGAGTTTTGACCGTGCAAAAGGGGTCGAGCTATTGATGTGATAGGCCAAGCTTAGTCCATCGATTTGCGGTTAGCTAGGCCAAACTGAAGGACTTTGAATCTGCCAAACAAAGTTGACCAAGCTCCTCCATCTCGGCCAAAGTAGTCTTCTGGTGGATCTGGCTAAGCTCACCGAGCTATAGTGGGCCAAAAAAAATTGGGCCATTGTTGAAGGCAAAGACAACGCTTATATGTTTCCAATCAGGCTGATAGTTCAGTTAAGCTCTGGATGGCAGCACAGCGCAGATCTCATGGGTAGTGATCATGGTCCGAACCAAGATATTGCTAGCTCAGCCAAAAGTGTTTTGGTTGAGTGCTTCTCGTGCCCCAATGGTTTCTGGGGAACAAATAGTGACCTGTCCAAGTTAGTGTTGTCCCTGACAAGTACATGCGTACAAGGGAATAATAAAACATAATGTTCTTGCCCAGGACAATAGGGATAATGTGTACTACATAGAGGAATGAGATGAGTTGTTTGTATAAAAGCCTTGGACTTCAGTGTGGAATGCATGTAATCTGAGATACCCGAAAATAACTCTCATTCTTCTATATTCTCTAAGGATGCTAACTAGATCGTTAGAGGGGTTTTTCGGTGAGACATTTGCCAGTTAGCTCACCTCTGTTGTGTTTGCAGGAGAAACGACGCCATTAAAGTGAACATATCGTGGAGGCAAGGAGTACAGAAGTAAAGATTATTTACTCCCCGTACAATTGGCGCCGTCTGTGGAAAATCTTGACAGGCAAAACCTTGCTCTCCACGATTCTCTGGTCGACTAAAATGGCGAATAACGACGACCTTCCGATGTTTGTCGTTAATGGTTTAACACCAGAATATGTTAGGAGGCAAGACGACTTGCCCACCGTTCCAGCAATGGCGAATCTAGACACCCTTGTGGGCGAATTGACCAGCGAAGCGCAAGGAGCCTAGAATGCTCAAGGGGCCCTAAAGTGCGACGACGACGCAAGGAGTTGCACACCTAGCACTTGAAAAATAGACTGAAGAGCCAAAATGCCATTATCTAAAAGATAGTAGCAGAGATGGAGACCATGAAGCGACAGTTAAAGAGAAAGAGCGTAGCTAGAGTGGGAAACCACAATAAGTGTGCCCATTCCCATCATTTAGATGAGTGGAGGAGTGGAGAAGCACCTGTGTTCTTCGTAACTAGAAGTTTCAGAAGAGGTAACTTCACATCACCTATGGAGATGTCCTATACTAAGGACAATAGTTGTTGACCATCGCAACCTACTACGACATCTAGGTACTCCTACTCTGTTCGTTTCAAAGACCTAAAAGATGTCCTGGAATGAAGAGCAAAGAAGAGGGAGACCCAAAGGGTGCCGGCGCTGCAAAGACTATCACCAAGATTCTATCAGAGCATAGCAGCTATTATGTTGCCACCATGCGCTACCGCGTGCACACTTGCGGATTCGAACTTGGCAAGGTTGAATGCCACCTTTTTCTCTCCAAAAATTAAGAATGTGCCACTCATCGCAGGCTTCCACCAGTCATTTTCACTATATATAAGTAATTTTCACTATGCCATGGCTGTTCACAAGTGTAGTGATGCCCTCATGTGCATATTATTCTCAACAAGCTTGGGCGAGCTAGGCCTCAAATGGTTTGAAGGACTGCCAGATGGGAGCATTCATAGCTAGCAGTAGTTGGTCGGAGCATTTGTCACCAGAATTGAGACAAATATAATGGCGCCAAAAGAGATCAACCATCTTCTAGGAGTAAGCATAGAATACAGAGAAGCGTTGAAAGCGTACAATGCTAGCTAGGTACTATGAGGCATTCAATGAGATACATGATTGCCCAACCAACCTAGATATCACTCAATACAGGCGGGGTCTACCAGTCAGACATAGGCTGAGAGATTTCCTCACAATGATTCAACCCCCAATGTTAGAGTTGTTGATGCAAAGGATCAATGAGCACATAAGGGTTGAAGATGATGCGGTGGCCAATATCGTGAAGAGAAATCGAGTAGTAACGGACAGAAAGATTGTGGGAAAGGTTCATGTTGTCGAACATGAGGAAAACTATCTAGATAGCTACAAGAGAGAGCGGATTCGCGATCCCCGTCATGACAAAAGTCGCTACAACAACCAAGCTCACAATCCTCAGGATGAAGAGGAAGAGGGTGAGCGAAGACTAAAAGCCTGAACTGGCATCACTATGGTCTTCAAAATACCCATCTATCGTATCTTGAGTGAAATCCACGACAAGCTATACATTTGGTGGCCAGCTCGACTAAGCGATACTCAACGGAGATTCAATTCGAGGTTCTACTGCACCTTCCACAATGAGAAAGGGCATCGCATGGAGGATTGTGTGCCTCTAAAGCAACATTTAGAGGAATTGGTAGTCGTTGGGCATCTCGATAGATACATTGATGGAAGCGTCAGGGCAATACCTTTAAGGCAAGCCGAACCTGATGGCTTGGGTGTCATGGACGCCCCACCCTAGGGAGTTATTAATGTGAATCATGACATTGTTGAGCCAGTGCGAGTATGCGAGCTTAGAAGGATGATTAAGAAAGCAGAACATATAACGGAAGTGTTGTCCGTTCAACCTATAGGCAAAAAGGGAAGAGCAGAAGCGAAGGACATCATGACCTTCTCTAGCAAGGATCTAAAGAGAATTCAAACTCCCTACAACGATGCGCTAGTCGTCACTCTGTGCGTCAAGGACTTCGACATCAGAAGGATCTTGATCGACCAAGGTAGTTCGGTCGAAATCAAGTATTATGATGCCTTCAAATAATTAAAACTGGAGGACAATGACTTGGTGTTGGTAACTTCTCTCTTGGTTGGCTTCAATTCATAACTAGAATGGCGTTTGGCCAAGATTATTTTTCCAGTCAAAGCGAGGTCGATCACCAAACAGGTCAAGTTCTAGATGCTAAAGGTTCTTTCCACCTATGACTTGATCTTGGAGTGAGGATGGTTCCATACCATGAAAGAGGTGGCGTCGACCTATCACCAGGTGATGCGTTTCCCCTTTACTGCAGGAGTAATCAAAGAAGTCTGGTAGGACCAAGTGATGTCCAAACAATGCTTTGTGGCTATAAATGGTAGCCGTGTTGCCAAAGGTTTTGTCCAAATGGTAAAAGGGCGAGAAGATCAGGAAGTCTTGGACGACGTCAGGAAGCAGGCTAAAGAGAAAGCTATAGAGGATCTGGTGGAAGTTCGGATTGACAATGACGACCCAAACAAGTTCTTTCTATTGGGTTCATCCTTGTCCAGTGGAGAGCGACAGGAAATTATGGATTTCTGGTTGCTAACTTGGAAGTGTTCGCTTGGACGTCTTACAACATGCCTGGTGTAGATCTAAGCTTCATTTGCCTTTAAGTAAATGTTTTTGCAAGTGCCCGCCCTGTCATATAACGAGCTGGACGATCAATCTTCCACCATACCAAAGTTGTCGCAAAGGAGGTGGAAAGTTTGCTGGATATAAGGGCAATCCAAGAAGTGCACTACCCTAAATAGGTCTCCAACATGATGGTAGTGCCAAAGAAAGGTGAGAAGTGACGAGTGTGTGTCGACTATAAGATGGTCAACAAAGCTTGTCCCAAAAATAGCTTCCTGCTGCCAAGAATAGACTAGCTGGTAGACCTCACGACAGTCACACAAGATTTAACTTCTTGGATGCGTACTGTGGATATCACCAAATCACGATGTATAAGCTGGATAGGGAGATTACCTCTTTCACAACCCTGAGAGAACTGTACTGTTACTAGGTCATGTCGTTTGGGTTGAAGAATACAGGGGCAACCTTTCAACGAATGATCACTAAAATGGTTGCCCCTTTGCTTGGTCGAACAATGGAGGCCTACATTGACAACATGGTGGTCAAAACCAAGCGTCAATCTAACCATCTAGACGACCTTCCTGAAGTGTTCATGGTACTTAAGCATCATAAATTGCTCTTGAACGCTTCCAAGTGTGCATTCGGTGTAGGATCACTACAACAAAAATAGTCTTTAGAGACGAAAACTAATGACGAAAATAAATTGTCACGAAATACGTATCTTTTAATGACGAAAATAATATTTCATCTCCAAATGTACCATTTTTAAAGACAAAAATAAAATTTCGTCACCAATCTAAATACATAATAAAAAAATTAGGTTACAAAATTATTTTTCGTCATTATTTATATATTTTTTTGTCACCAAAGATTTTCCTGCTAATTTTTTCGGAGGGTACCAAAATTTTGAGACTTTTGGTGACGAAAAAATTGGTCACCAATTATAAAATTATTAATGACGAATATATTTTTGTCACCAATAATTTTTAATATTTTAATATCATTTAGTGACAAAACTATTTTTGTGGCCAATATTTTTATCTTTGGTGAAGAAATAATTTTGTCACCAATAAATGATTTAGTTGCTAAATATTTTAGAGGGAAATAAAAATGTATTGGTGCCTATAGAAGCAGATACAGCAATCGATTCTTCTTCTCACCCAATTCGCATATGTTAAAAAAAAAAAAACCTGTTATGCTTGCTTATACACACACACACACACACAATAATTTCTCCATCAAACCTAATTTCATACACACACACACACACACACCTTATACTCATTCACACACACAGTTTCCTCACCACCGCAGCTAATATTTCATCGATTCACACACATTGCCGCTGTGCCGATCGGCTCACCACCGTCGTTGGTTTCTCATTCCCTTGCTGTCGATCGTTAGCCTCTTCTTTCCTCACCATCGCTGTTGTGCCGATTGGCTCACCACCACCGCTATTAGTCTCTCTCTCTCTCTCTCTATCTAATATTTTCTTTCTCTGATGTATATGCTCTATATACATATAATATATGTATATATAACTTCAGCAGCCGATGTTCCTCTTTCTTTGTTTGTGAATTTTTTTATTATGGAATAATGTGAACCTTGTGGGTGAATTTGATCATGTTATGTATATTAACTTGTGTCATCAGTGGTTGGGGTTAGTCTATTGGTGGTTGATTTGTTTTATTAGAATGTTATGTTCAGCAGTGGTTGTCAGTTTTGGTTTTGTTTTTATGGGATTTTTGTTTTGGTTAGAAGGGGCCTGGGTTAGTAGGTGCAACATCAGTAGCCTTCAGTATGGGAGTTTTGCTGCTGGAGTATTTTGATGTTAGAATGGTGGAGTATTTTGCTTTTGTATTGCAGTAGGAATGGTGTATGAATGGTGGCTTCTGCATCAGATGCTCTATTTAGTTGTTTTGTTTTGGCACCACCAGTTGGCACTCAGTTCAAGTTATTGATGCTTTTGTATTGCAGTAGGAATGGTGGCTGAATGGTGGCTTCTGCATCAGATGCCCTATTTTGTTGTCCTCTTGTAGTGTTTTGCTGTTAGTTTGTTGTTGTCCTATTTTGGTATGTATTAGCTCTGGTTAACACTGACTTGGGTGAGGTTGTTTTGGGTGTTAGTGGTTGGTTCCTCACCAACTCTTGATGGTGTGCTTGCATATGATTGGGCGGTCTTATTAGTGCCAACCAAGTTGGGATTGATTTGGCTCGCTATGATGCCTTTTACACTCATCTTCTTTTTTCCTTTATTGATGTTATAGCTTTTGCGTCATTAATAAAGTTCTTTTAAAAAAAAAAAAAAAACTTATGTCATCATATGTTCAAAGCATATAAGTAGACACTGGAGTTATGTTATGTCAGAAAATATTGATTTTCCTTGAATGTTCTATTATTTTGTTTAGATGAGAATAACCTTATGATGAAATAATGTAGTGTAGCTGACAATTGTCTTGGCCAATAGGTTGATGGACTTTCCGGGAATATCAAAAAAACTGATAAGCTACATGAATTTGTGGAGAATAGTAGGAATTTTTTTATGAAGCTTAGGGACAACTGAGTATGTAAGAATAGCACTGAGGTATTGATAGTTAAAAAAGGAGGAGAATAAACTGTTTCAGTAGATACCATTGTGAAGATTAGTGTTTATAGTAACCAGTGTAATGTTTCATGAGGTAATTAGAGGGACATGAAATTTTCATAAACAAAGTAGTAGACCTTTGTGCCTAGTATAATTGTTTTTGTGTGGGAAACAGACTTTTGTTAGTATTCAGTTTGATTAGTTGCTTAATTTAATTTGAAGATTATAGAACACTGTACACTTGGTGATTTTTGTTGATTTTTTAATGATCTTTTTTGGTAAAGATGTGTTAAAATCAATAATGACCATTTTTGTTAGTTTTTATTCCTTACTTGCATATAACCTTAGAACTTGTATAAGAATCTTCAATAAAGATCTGGACGTATATTTGGTGAAGTTCTTATTGAATTTTTCAATTTATTTAGTTCATAAATACACAAGTCTACATTATACTATATTGTTCCTAATCTTTCATTTGTGATCAGACATGGATAAAAGTTGGATTGCGCTAGGCAGGACGGCTGATAGAAGGATGAGTAAACCATATAATGATAGGGTTAGGTTATTTCTTAAATTTGCAATGGGGGTTTTAGACCAAAATGGTAATATTTTGTGCCCATGTATAAAGTGTGAATGTTTATAGACAAAATCTTCAAAATATGGAAATTCATTTGCTCCAATATGGGATCATGCAAACTTACACTATATGGCACCAGCACGGGGAACCCAGTGTTTCAAACGAGACTTACCATGATGATGAGATGCGACTTGATGGTGATGAAATTGTAGGTGGTATTGAAGCCTTAGTGGAAGATCGTATAAGAGGGGAATATACTGATACAACCCAAGGGGAGGAAATGAGAACTTTTGATCAATTGTTGACAGATGCCAAGAGTGAGTTGTTCCCAAATTGTACAAATTATACTTTGTTGAAGTTTGTGATTGAGGTGCTTACTATGAAGGTAACAAATCATTGGAGCAATAAGTCAGTTGATATGATGCTAGAGTTTTTAAGTAGACTTTTACCAAAAGAAAATTTGATTCCAAAGACAACTTATGAAGCTAAGAAAATACTACGTGACTTGGGCTTGTCATATGAGCTCATTTATGCTTGCATAAATGATTGTGTATTATTTTGGAAGGAGAATGCAACACTAGATAAATGTTTGACTTGTAAAACATCTAGATACAAGATCAATCGTGGAAGGGGTAAGAAGATCCCCCATAAAGTATTGCGGTACTTTCCTTTGACGCCAAGGTGGAAAAGATTGTACATGTCAAGGAAGAGGGCTGAGGACATGAGATGGTACAAAGACAAACGAGTAGACGACGAGATATTAAGGCATTCCGCTGACAGTGATGAGTGAAAGGAATTCGATGCACAACATCCTGAGTTTGCCTTGGAGCCTTCAAATGTGAGGCTAGGGTTGGCCATTGATGGGTTTAACCCTTTTGGGAACATGAACAACTCTTATAGTTTGTGGCTCGTCATACTCATTCCATACAACTTGCCACCTTGGTTGGCTATAAAGGATCCATTTTGTTTGATGTCATTACTTATTCCTAGAGAATT